ACCGGTGAGGATGACGCGGCCCAGCCGAGTGAGCCAGGCTCTGGCAGGTAACAGCCTTGACAATTCTTTGTCTCTTCCTTGGCGATTGGTTGGCAGCTTGGGGACCCCCGGGGCAAACCTGGCCTGCGAGCAATGCATTCGTTTGCGCAGTGGGTGGTTGCATTTCTTGGGGGGGGAGGTCATCTAGCATGTTCCAGAGACCTCTTGAGTACAGGTTGGCTTGCCCTCAAATGAAGCCTTGAGAGCGCCTGGATTTCCGGAAACAGAAGAGATTACTTGGAGGGATTCACCCCAGGATGCTCCTGGCAGCGTTAGTGTGTGCTGGGGCATGTACGGGCCCCATCTGGGGTCCAATGGATGTTGATGGACTGCCGTTCCCATCATCCTTCACTCTGCGGTGCTGGCTGGGGTTTAGGGGGGTGGTCGGTCAGTTGTATCCAGGAGGGTCATGTTCCCTCTCTTTGCCGTTTCTCAATGACATGTTGAATCTCCCGGTGGCTGTGAACGTAGAGTTCGCGAACACCCCGGAGTCTGGCTGTGCTCCCTTTCCGTTCCAACTCATGTTTATGGTGTCGTCTGGAGGAAAGCGGTCACGAAGGTGATGGTACAGCACAGGTTATGTATTTGCATCCCAGTGAGGTGGCCAGAAAGGTCTCATGGCAAGCCCCCTCTCGGGAACAACCTTGTCATTCATGGCCCCAGTGGGTTTTGGATTTCCTTGTGCTTTTCCCATGATTGGAGGTCTGCTTTCGCCAGTCTCAGTTCCACTGTGCTGTGCAGGGGGAGGTGAAGACTCCTCAACTGGGGTGTTGGCCGACTGTTGTAGGTATTAAAATGAGGGTACGGTTGCATCCCTTGGATCCTCTCCCCCTTTTTATCCTCCCGTTGCTTGGTGTGGGTGCTTTTTCTCTCACTTGGGGAAGGCGACGCGCCCACGCTGCGGGTTGTCGCCCGAACACCACCCTTCTCAGCCGCGCAGCAATTCTTGACAGCCAACAACTGACCGGCTGTCGGACCCTTTTCGCTGTTTCTTTTACAGAGAGGTTGTGGCTCCACATGGCTGGAATTGGGTTTCCTTTCTTGCTTTCCTTTCCTGATCCTCTCGGTGGGGAGGGGATGGAAGACAGACATCTCACACACACCCAATTGTGAGGGACGCTAAAAAATGGTGTCCAGCAGTATCTGCTACAAAGACACGTCGGTGAAAGGAACCCAGAAGGGGGGCGAGCATCCTGTCCTCTCTTCGCCCTGTTCCCCAGGAGAAACCGGTCCATTGGCCTCGTAGGCTCCAGCTTTTCATAGATTTTATTCTATTTTATTTTATTTCTTTCTTCAGTTTCTGTCCTGCTTTTCTCCCACAAACGGAAATACGTTGCTGGCGCTTTAGAACCAATTCAGATGTACTGAGCAGCAAGTACATTAAGATGTCACATGGCGAGAAACATTGTTCCAGTCAGGACTTCTGCGTTCACGGGCCACGAAACGCGGCAACCTGGGAATCTTGGCTTTCATTAAAAGAAAGAAAGAAAGCAAAGTTTCTAATCCCTAAGGTTGTTTGCCAAAAGGTTTGTGGGCAGTGCTTGGGACTGGAAGGGTAAGATTCATAGCGATCAAAGGAAGATCGGCAAAACAGCAAACAACGAGCAAAAAAGTGCTTTAAAAGGAGAGAAACAAATGCAGATGTGTTCAGCATACTCTTCTGGGCTCCAAGATCTGGACGGCGCAGCTACTGGATGCTGAGGACACCGTTGCTTGTGGGGTCTGGACTTAAGGTTGGACTGTAGACCTTTGCTTGCAGTTTGAGAGCTTTGTTACAACCAGTGGAACGAGAGTGGAAACCTGCAGAAAGTAAGCTTTCAGTTTCTGTCTGATTGCTACACAGCTGGGGGCTGCCGTGTGTTTGCCCATCTTGAGTCTCTTCAGATCAGATATTGTACGGGAGGGCATACACACACACACACACCAGGCTATCTCTCTGTAGATGCCATGGGCCTTTCTCTGTCCTCCACTTCCACTTTATTTCATCATTTCAGAGTTCTGAAACAGTGCTGCTCAGACACTGGCTTGAGAAGCTTCAGCAGGACCGCAGTATCCATCGGGGATTGTTTCCGAACCCCCCCTCCCTCTGGATGCTGAAAAATGTGGACATGTTAAACAGGATACACATTGCATGCTCTCTGGTTCCCTCTAGTGGCCAGTTGTGGCAAATACACTTGGGAAATGCACATACATATGTGTTTCTGGAATTTTTTTATTTAGTATTTTAAACAGCGGATACGTGAATCAGCGGATATTTGCCCTGCTCATAGGGGCCCCCCTATTGTACTTAGCTTGTCCTCAAGGGTCAGTGCCCCTAGTCCGGAACCTTCTTGGTCGATTGGACTACAGGTCCCAATATCCCTGGCTAGGAGTATTCTTGCCATTGTACTCCAGCTGACTTAGAAAGCACTTAGAGGAGGTTGGCCTGGGATGCAGGGCTAAAATATAGCTTCAATTGAAAACCTTTATTCCATCTGCCTGCCTACTTGCCACCAGCTCGGCACCTCCTGCTCCTTGACTGCTTATCTATTCAGACAAAGGGCCTTTTCGGCAGCTGCCCCGCTTGCCACCAGCTCAGCACTTCCTGCTTCTTGACTGCTTATCTATTCATTTATTTATTGGCCACCGTTTTCTCATCCAGAGAGACTCAAGGTGGCTCGCCGTGTTTAAAAATACAAATTTTAAAAAGCGATAAATTATAGATTGAAACCAATTAAACCCCAATAGCAATTAAAGTGAAGTATGCTGCTTTATGTACCACCCCATAGGTATATGGGAGGGGGCATCAAACGCATGGGTCATATTCCATGAAAAAGTCACTTTGGGGTATGAGAGTCACCCAAAAAGGGAAAGAAATTGAAGCAGAAACGAGCCACTGGGCAGGCATGTGGAGCTGTTCCTGAGTGTGCAAAATGCGAGTTACTTATGTGCTCGCTACACGGACAGAACTGGTATGGTTCAGTGGGCTGTGGGCAGCTGCCTGTGGAGGCAGGGGCTGGGAGCCGGCGGGAGGCCAGCTGTACAGCCTCGGCGCATGTATGTCTCCTTGGGTTAAAAGTGCCCTGCCATCGGTCCCACCAGTCATGAACCACTTCTGAGAACTTTATAGAATGCGCCGGGAGGGTCGCCGTAGATTGGAATGGACTGGGCAGAACGCATAATATTACTGTTGGTCAAAATTGCCTGGGGGGGATTGTCGCCTGCCTTCACATCGCAAGGCGAACTCCAACTCAAAAGAAAAACAAAGTCCCGTTGGACCCCGTGACGGGGCAGGGAATCGGTTCGCAGCTCCCCCACCCCACCCCGTGGATGCTGAAAAGCGCGGATCCCTCGCTCCCTCTAGTGGCCAGGTCTGGTAACTTCATTGTTATATATTGGGGGGGATTTTTCTTTAAATATTTTCAAGCAACTTCATTGTTAGAAATATACAGTATATTGGGGGGGGGGATTTTTCTTTAAATATTTTCAAGCTGTGGATCAATGAATCCAGCTGTTCCTCCAACCCCCTTGGACTGACTTGCTTTGCACCCCTTCCCTTCTCTGTGATTGTCATAGCCCCCCCCTCCTTCCCATGTCTCGAACCAAGGTTTAGGGAGGAAGTCCTTTAATTTCCTTGCCAATGGTATGCCACTGACCTTCTTCCCATCCTTTCCCCCCACCCACCCACACCCTTGCATGCCAACTCCCTCTCCCCTGTAGGCATGATGGCCTTTCTGATGTCAGTCCCGGGATGTCCCGTGCACCTCACCCCGGTGCCTCCGCCCGGCCGAGCCCATAGACCCTCTAAAAAGCCCCGCCGCTCAGCCAAGGAGGGCAGGAGGGTCTGCACCAAAGGTAGCTCTGATCTCTTGGACTCCTTTTTGGCTGCTGCCTCTTCTTGCTCATCAGTTTTCCTGCATTCTGCTTTTGTCTCCTCCTTTCTGGTTTCTCGGAGGGGCGGGTGGCAGGGGTGGACCAGTTCCATCTGAACCTGCTTCCTCTGAAAGGATGACTTGTCGCCTGTGGCCAGGGTGTGTGTGTGTGTTTCTTGATAGAGCCCCCAGCCTCCTTGGCCGCCATTGCTTCATAGCCTGGCCTCCCTAGCACTCAGAAGGCGGCCTCCACTCCTGAGCAGGAGAGGAGAAGGCAAGGGGTGCTGCGGGGTTTTCCATGCTTAATCAGCGAGGGGCAGGATCGGAAGGAGAGCATGGCAGAGCAGCAGCTGCATCTCTGCCAGCTGACACTCAATGTGGAAGAATGATGAGAAACTCCTTATGTCACAGAAGATTGATTTGGGGAGCCAGTGGAGGCTAGACTAAATACACAGGATGTGCTGAAAGTTGGTTTATTTTCTGTATTCCCATAAAGTGCATGTGGGCCAGAGATTGGGAAGGTAAAAGCAATGTGTTCCTCTTAGCCGTTACGGTGTTTGTGGAATTAAATCACAGCCGTTGCCTTTTCTAGGGTTTAATAAATAACTGGGTACTGCTTTTTGGTTTTGCTGTTGGTTCTGTAGTTTTCTTCCCCAAAAGCCATTATGAATCAAGCGTACTGCTCTTTATTAGCATTCTGGGACATTCAGCTCACAAAATATGATTTTTGTTGAATAATGGATGGTACTCTGCAGTGAAGATAGGAAGGGGAATTTTCAAAAAATCAGAATCTTGCTTCCATGCCAAGAGCATGGAGTATGTTTTTCGCCCTGTCAATGATGCATGTTGCTGCAGATTCTCTTTTGGGTAGAAGTGAGGGAATTGAGAATTACACATCTGTTTGGATCTGGTTTGATGGTTGAAATCCTGTTGCGTAGTTCTGTCCTCACTGCGGTCATGATGTCAGCAGCGGCAGCAAATCACCCCCCGGTTAAACACTTTCTTCAAGCATTTTGGGGTGCACTTGACTTAGTTTGTGTACAAGTTGCGAGCACCCCCAAATCTCCTTTATATACAGCCTTTCCTCAGTGGTGATTTGCACTGATGCATCATCTCAGCTGTGCAGGTGGAGGCACGCAACAGGATCCCAGCCATGCCTTGACAACCATTTAGAAAGCAAAATTAAAGAAGGTTCTCACTTTAATTTTACATTCTTGGGAAATGTCTCAAACATTTCCCCAAAGGATCTGACTGAAAATGCAACCAGTTCACGCACGCTCCCTTAAACGTGGCTTTGAATGACTTCCCAAGATTTTGGGCGAGGCCCCTTTGATGTCATGTTAACTGTCAGGGCTGCATCCCACAGAATCCTGGGATTATAGCCAATGCTAAACATAGCATGGTCTCTGACTCTGTCTGTTGGCCACTTTAGGAGACTTTGTTATTAGAAATATTTCCTGGAATGTTTCTTTTAATATTTTTAATATTTTCAAACTGTGGATAAGTGAATCAGCAGATACTGATCCTGCTGGTACCGGGGTCCTGCTGTATCATGAAGACACACTCCTATGTAGAATGCTGTTAATTTTAAGAAGGGGGTGCTACATTTATCATGGACAAAGCTTCCTTCTTTCCCTCACTCTTTCCCCCTCCTTCCCCTCCGTGGTTTAAATGCTGGCTTTGCCTTTGTGCCACGAGCCCACCTTCCACGTGTGTTTTCGGAGGCCAGGACCCAGATTCTCCACTCTTCGGCCCACTCGCTTGCTTTCTGGGCACCCTCTTCTCGCCCTTCCCAAGGAGCCTTAAGAATAGCATCTCCTATCCCAGAACTGTTATCCAAGGCCGCCCTCTCTGTGCTTAGAACCGCAGGACCGGTTGGATCCTGACATGGTTGAGCATCCTGCACCCCTTCAGTGCTTCTTCTGAGGGGTGCGTTGTCCCTGACAAAGTTCTTTACAGGTATAACAAGGAGGCCGGGCACCTCAGGGAAACATCCTGCCGAACTGCTATTCATCTTGCATGGAATTTTTAATTTTTTGCATCAGGGAGCAGTCCACAAAAATCAAGTTGTCTCTCCCCACCTTAGGTCTGTCGCGGTGCTCCCTTGCCGCCACCTCATTCTTCTGCACGTAGCCTTGGAAGTGCGCGGGCTGCTCGCAAGGCAACGGCTCCGAAACAGCCTTGCTGGATTAACTTTCTTGCAAACATCTAACCCTTTCTCTTTGGCCTGATCTGCCTCTCCCCTTTGTGCTGCCGTTAACGTCCGCCTCATCTTATTTGGTCGGTCCCTCCATGGGCATTGACGTCTCCCTCATGTGTGTGTTGGTCTGTCTCTGTCATTTTCTTTCTGTTTAGCTGGCACCGGCGGCCCCGAAGAGGTGGTGAAGCAGTACTTGGAAGAGCTAAAGGCGCCCCCAACAGATGAGGTAGGTTGGCAGGATCCTTCCAGTGCCTCCGGGCTAGGGATCGGGACCATTGGGAAAGGTTGCTTTCAGCTCCACTCTCCCTTTTAGGCACATCAGACAATTCGCAAGACTTTTATCGTCCTGGCCAAAAATCCTGTTGGGACTTTACCCCCGCATAATGCAGAAGGGGTGGGATCCTTTTGCTGGGAAACTGCCTCAAGTTCAAGAAAGCACTTTAGACATGATCTTTGGGTGTACCGCATTGACCAGCTCAACGCACAACAGGATATGTCTGCAAGGATTCCTTCCTTTGGGCAACTAACCTCCAAAGTTTACAACATTTGCCTTGTGCTTGCAGGCATAACTTACCGGATTATTTATTTATTTACAATATTTTTACACTGCCTTTCCATTCAAACGGGCCCAAAGTGGCTTGCAAAATTAATGGGGGAATATTTAACAGCTAAAAAATATTTAAATACAGTGGTGCCTCTACTTACAAACTTAATTGGTTCCGGAGCTCCGGTTGTAACTCGAAATGGTCATGTCAAAGCACCATTTCCTGTAGGAATGCATTGAAATGCAATTAATCCATTCCGGCCGAAGAAAAAAATCACACACACACAAAAAAACCACTGCAAGACCCATTGGAAACACGATTAACCCATTCCGGCTGAAGGGGGGGAAAAGAAAAGCAAACAAACCCCACAAGACCCATCAGAAATGGAAGGAGAAAAAAAAACCAAAAAGCAAACAAAGTCCGCAAGACTGATTGGAAATGGGGAGAAAAAACAGCAAAAAACAAACAAACCCCCCAAGACTGATCACAGCACAGAGACATAACCCCCCAGCCCAAAACCACACTGTAAAACCCACCCAGAAAGTTTTTTTAAAGTAGAAAGCAGCACCTTACCAGGCAGTCCGCAGCCTCCTCCAATCGCACACTCTCTCTCACCGCTGGGGCGAAAGAGCTACAAAGAAGCCGCTTCTTCGCCACCAATGTTTAGAAATTTGAATTCCCCGCTTTTTCCCCTGCCCTTTTCTGTTCATAACTGGAAGCTCTGGACGCAAGTCGAAGCAAAATTGTGCGGCTGGAGCTGGTCGCAACTCAAAATGGCCGTATGTTGCGGCAGTCAAAAGTTGAGGCACCATTGTATTTAAAAAAGAATTAAACATATTAAAACGATAAATAAAATCAATACTAAAAACACATTTAGCTTTTTTTTCCTTTTGCATTGGGGGCAGTCCACAAATGTGGATTACATTTAGATCCCACCTTTTCACCATGGAGTTTAGGATGATGTATCTAGCTCACCGCCTCTTCCTCTGTCCTTATCATCACAACATCCCTGTGAGGTAGGGGATTGTTTAGGATGATGTATCTAGCTCACCACCTCCTCTTCCTCTGTCCTTGTCATCACAACATCCCTGTGAGGTAGGGGATTACTGAGAGAGAGGGATTACCGGGGGTCACCCAGTGAGTTTCATTGCTCAGAGAAATAGGGATGGGATTTTTAGATTTCTTATATTACAAAGCCCATCATTGTACATGCTGGGTGTTCTCCCTAACACAGACACAGCTTAAGGACACCTAAATATGGCTCACTTTGGGGGAAAGGCCTAGCTCTGGCTCAGCAGTGAGCCTTTTTTTTCTAAACAGGAAGCTAGGCCGAGCTAGGCCTCAAAGCCTTCCCGTTTAGGCCTTTCCTCCCAGGCGAGCCAAAGGTAGGTGTTGGTGAGGTGGGGACCACCACCACCCTTTCCACTGTCCCTGTGGCCTCCCTGCCTGGTCCTACCGCCACCACCTCCTCTGCCGCCACCATCATGGAAGACGACATTGGTTTCCCTTCCGGCGGCCTCTGCGCATGCCTCCACAGCCTGCTGATAGGCGGACGCATGCGCAGAGGCGGCCGGCCAGCTCTGGGAAGGGAAGGGGGCCTGCTGTTTCTGGCGGTGGCGGTGGCGGTGGCGGCAGGGCCAGGTCGGTAGAGGCGAAAGTTTGGCGGTTCATTTTGCTTTGGCCAAACAGGATCCCTGAACAGGGTCACGAACCAAACCATGAACCAGCCCAATTTGGTGGGTTTTTTTCCCCGATTTGTGATTTGGTCTGGGCCCAACCGCAGATTGTAGGGTAAGTGCACTTCTGAAAGGTGGGGGAGTCGCTGGGAGAAACTCCGAGAGACGCAATGGACAGCTGGGGCAAAGATAACACCCCCCTCGCCTGCTTTGTTCCCTGCCCAGCTTCTCCATATTTTTCCCCCTGCTCCCCGGGAATGTGTCTGCTTTGGGAGGGGGGTGGATTCACAAGCCCAAGCCGTGGGGGGGGGGGGAGAAGATTGAAAGAGGTGAACAGAGATGGCGGAGGGGTTATGTAGGTCAGGGTTTTTCTCTTTTTTCATTTGAGGGTCTAACGTAGAGATGGGCGCAAACATTAAAAAGCATGGGGAGGCGGGCGCCTGGGCACAGAACGCAGCTTGGGAGCCCCTTGGCAGAAAAATGAGGCCGTGGGATTGCCTGTGTTTTTGGATCCTTAAAACAAGCTGGTGGGAGGCTGAGGAGGAAGTACAGGATAACTTTTGAAACCCAGCCACCTCCCTTTTCCCCAGGACTGCATCATCTGCATGGAGAAGCTGGGCGCCCCTTCGGGCTACAGCGACGCGTGCGAGAGCAAGACACTCATGCCCGAGAGCGTGGGGAGGCTCTCCAAGTGCGGCCACGCCTTTCATGCCCTCTGCATGCTGGCCATGTACACCAGCGGCAACAAGGTATTGTGGTTGTGGGAGTGTGCCGGGTCTGTGGAGGTGCGCTGTGTCGTGAGGTCCTTGGAGATCCACCGCCATCGCAAAAAGACAAAGGTGTTTTTAACTGGAAAAATGCAACCTTAGCCCAGGGATACCTGTGGGGGGGCCCCTCAAAGCATAACAATTGTCCGCAGGGCCCCCAAAAGATACGACTTGCTGAGACCATTTTGGGAGTAGGGAAAGTGAGAGGACCCTGTTTGGGCTTCCGTTTCAGCATATTCGGAATGGCTTTCTATATACAGTAGGACCGCGGTATCCGGGGTGGATTGGTTCCAAGCCCTCCTCCACCAGCGGATACAAAAAACTGTGGATAATAGTGAACCCTATCTTTAGCATTGTCTCAGGTCTGGTGATGACATGGCCGAAATACATATTTCTGGGTAGGTTTTTTTAAAAAATACATTTTAAATATTTTCAAACCATGGCTCCGTGAAACTGTGGATATGGTTCCCATGGATAAGAGGGTCCCACCATAAATTACATTGGTGTCCATTTGGATGATTTGGGCTAAGTGCCTGCCAGTATGGTTCCTGCAGGTGGAAATCTGATGGCTAGAATCCTTTGCTCTCATCATACGTGGTCCCAGAGGGAGACCTTTCAGGATGGGGCACACAGAATCTGCGCTGGCCATTCTGTTGATGGCACAGACAGAGGTGAAGCTTCAGAGCTGTGTCATCCCATGTGCCACTTAAAACTGCTTCTGCTTTTTAAAGGGGGTGGTGAGAAGGAAGGAAAAATCAGAAGAAATCCCCTATGGATTCTGGAGCTAAGCGTTGGCAGACAATCTCATTTTAGGAGAGAATCTACTCCCACTCTGGCTCCCTCTAGTGGCCAGTTCTGTTAACCTCACGGTTAGAAATACATTCCTGAGAATTTTTCTTTTAATATTTCCTGAGTGTGGATAAGCAAATCAGCGGATACTGGTCCCGTAGATAAAAGCATGCTACTGTATATGCTTCTAAGCCTCTCTCGACCAAGATAGTTCCGTGATTCCTAACCTTAGATGGTGAGACAATTCATTGTGCCACCCTACAGGAAGTTCACCCTGGGCAGCCGTCAGAGGACCCCAGCAGAGTCTCCTGGCTTCTTTCCCAGTTGTCTTTCTGCCATTTCAGGGACCATGGGACTTGGGACACTTGAGATTCCCACATTCTGACAACCCTCTTGTCTCATCCAATCCCCAGGACGGGAGTCTTCAGTGTCCGTCGTGCAAGACCATCTACGGGGAGAAGACGGGCACGCAGCCCAGCGGCCGGATGGACGTCTCCGTCCTCCCAGACTCCATCCCCGGGCACGAGGACTGCCGGTCCATCCAGATTGCATACTATATCAACAAGGGCATTCAGGTGCGGGTGAGAGAGAGAGAGAGCAGTGCGGGATGCGTCCTTTCCTGGAGGCAGGGTGGTGGTTGCTCGGTGGCTGCACGCCAGCCTTTCCCAGCATCGGTGGCTGGAAGGATCCGAAGGAAGATGGCGGTTAAGCCCCTTCTCTGCTTCAGGCTTTCACCTGTTCCGGGGGCTCCTGAACAGCCAGTCCGAGAAACACTCCTTCCTGGTATAGATCCAGCTGCCTGGGTTCCTCCTTTGCTAGATGGGGAAGCCGCGGATGGAATGAGCCGAGTGTTTTGCCGCCAGGCAGCCACCTGATCCGGCTCCTCCCAGTTGCCATTTACCAACCCCTAATTCAGGTTTCAGATACCCAGTTGGGGGTCTAGTGGATCGAGTGACAGACTAGGACTCAGGAGACCCAGGTTCAAATTCCCACGGAAGCTCAGTGGGATGTAGAACTGGTAAAACCACTCCTTTGCTCCGCCACGGAAGCTCAGTGGGGTGTAGAACTGGTTAAACCACTCCTTAAACAACTCGCTTACCTTGCAAGCAATTCCCGGGTTGCTCGGAGTCGGTTTTGACTTGACTGCGCATGGCTGCAAATTGAAATTTGACTCTGGCGTTCCTGACCTGCTCTCCCTCCTTCGCTCTTGCGCTCCGAGTTCCTTCGTTCCGTGTTCCTCAGTTGCTTGCATGCTGGGCCCCAAAGCAGGTTTCTGGTGCTTGAGCATGGGTTGCGTCCAGTTTAAGGAAGTTGTGTAGAAATGTTAAAACTAACCACATACATTACGAGTATCACAGCCTGCAAGTATGACTTTGCAGTTAAGCGCCTTTCCTTCCGTGAAGACATAATAAGGAGAAGTTCTTCACTTCTGCTCCTCTGTCTGAAATTCATGTACCCCCCCTAGGGATGGGCCAGAGCTTTTGTGTGTGTGTGTGTGTGTGTGTTTGGACTCTTCCAAGAATTCCCAAGCCACCGTCCCACATCTGTAAACACCTGCATTTCCTTCATCTGGAAAAAGGTCTCTCTTCCAGGCTACTTAGCTCCCTTGGGCCTGCGGTTGTTCATGTACGAATAGGTGCTTCTTGGGAGGCGTAGACCTTTGTGGGAGGTGTCATCGCTCTCCGATCGAGCCTGCTAGGCAGCAAAGCTTATATATATTATGTGTCTTGGAAACTCAGTTAGGGCCACCGTAGGTCAGAAATGACTTCAGAATGTGTAACAACAGAAAAGATTGGGGGGGGGAGAGGAGAGCCCTTTTCAAAGACCTTAAAGGTAGTCCTCCAGAGGAGGGGCAGGATCGGTTCTCCATCCTCCCAGAGTTCAAGACACGTCCTCATGGGCTCAAGCCAGAGGAAGTCAGATTTCGACTGAATACCAGGAAAAACCTCTTGACTGTTAGAGCAGTACGACAAGGGAACCCATGAGCACTCCAGCGCTGGAGGCCTTCAAGAGACAATTGGGCCACCATCTCTCAGATATAATTCAGTCTGGATTCCTGGCCTTGAGCAGAGGGTTGGACTCGATGGCCTTCGAGGCCCCTTCCCACTCCCATGATTCTAGGATTCTAGGACAGCAGCCAGGGGTCTAATGACAGATCACTTGTACCGACAATGTTGGTTTATGCCCGTTGGCACCTTCCAGATGGGCTTGAGTAGGTTCCCGTCATCCCTGGCAGGACCTTTGGCCTCCGTACCTGTTTGGGAATGGAGGGAGGCGGCGTCTCAGGAGATCAAGAAGGTGGCAGGTTGTGGAAGTGGATTGTTTGGAGGCTCATGCCGAACACCTAGCCTGCGTTTGGATGTGCTTCTGTGGTTTCTGTCGGCACATTCTTCCCAAGTGGATCTCTTACGCCAACGGAGGTCTCTTGATTTTCTCTGTTTCAGGGTCCAGAACACCCGAGCCCAGGTCAGCCGTACACGGCAAGGGGCTTCCCACGCTACTGTTACCTCCCGGATAACGAGAAAGGAAGAAAGGTAATGGGGGGGGGGGACGTCAGCGCCTTTGGGTCGGGCTCAATGGGGGCCAGCTGCCCTTTCCACAGGAGTCCATAGAGCAAGGAGAAAAAGCTTTCCTCTATTTTTGAACTGGCAAAAATCATAAAAATGGAGGGATCTGTTCATTTAGCACAGTCCAGCTTCCTTGTTCAAAGGGTTCTTCCAACCTGGCGTCCTTTTTTCCTTTCGAAATATCCAGATGGCAAAAAGTGTGCTAAAGGAAGAGCAAAGAGGGGGGGGAAAGGACAGTAATCCCTGTTTGTTCACATTCTTAAACCAAGAAAGAAACTCTTCCACCTGTCCTAAGGAAGTCTGCAGGACCCCCTTCGAGGGGGCGGTTTGAAACGGCAAAAATTAATCCCAGCGGTGGAAATTCTTATGACCGCTTTTGACGGCACCACATTTGGCAGCAGTAGAACTGAAGTCCAAGAAGCGTCCATGGATGATTGTATTTATTTGCAGTATTTTTGTATTGCTGTTCTGCAAAGCCACAGTGTACGACCTCCATACGCCTGATTTAAAAAAGCAGTGGAAACATAGCAAAACTACTTTTGCTACTTTTACGATTAGCAAATTAATCGTAAAGAAGCAGCAAATGCAACAGTTATTAATTTACAGTTCAGGGGACTGAAGAACTGATAACCTTTCTTTCCTTATTCGTATCTTAACAAGAATAAGAAGAATAAGAATATGATCTGCAAATGAAGTCGTTTAGCAGACCAGGTTAATAAAATGACTGCTGATACCTTCTTAAAAAGTGGGGCAGGCAGGACAGATTTAACCTGACACCAATATATTAATTAGAGGAGCAGGAATCCCTGTTTCTTTTCAGATTTATCCCCGTCAGCCGTTGGACAACCTAAGAGCCAAACTGAACTGCAGAGAAAAACTGGAGGGAATCCCCCCGCGGGCAGCCCTGGGTTCTTTCCCATGAAAGCAGCCAGTTCAGGTTTTCAAAATAAATTTCACTCCTTCTCCCTAAAATGAGAGGGATGACTATTTAAAGTGGGGATTGAGACGTCATCTGGGTGGGTGGGGTGCTTTCCTGGCTGAGATGGAATTTTATTTTTACAAAAAAACCCTGAAAGCAGCCAGGAGGTAGGAGGTGGACTGGAAACCGCGAAAGGAAAACCGGGAGGGTGGGAGGGCACGCCCTGTTGGACTTCCGCCTGCCCCTGACCGACGCCTCTCTTCTTCCCTCTCCCCGGCCAGGTGCTGGAGCTCCTCCGAGTGGCCTGGAAGAGACGCTTGATCTTCACCGTGGGCACCTCCAGCACCACCGGCGAGAGCGACACCGTGGTGTGGAACGAGATCCACCACAAGACGGAGATGAACTCCAACGTCTCTGGCCACGGCTACCCGGACCCCAACTACCTGGACAATGTGCTGGCCGAGCTGGCCGCCCAGGGGGTCACGGAGGACTGCTTGAGAGCCTGACCCCGCCGGCGATCAGGTGGCGCTGGCGTGGACTTTGGGTGCCTCGCGGGAGGGCCGCCGTGGCCTGTCCCTGTTGCCTTAAATTTGCTTGCTGTCTTTCCTTGTCAGCAATAACACTTGTTTCTGGGAACCTCCAGCCCGGTTTGGGGGGCGTGGGGGGTGAGGTTTATTTACAATGTGTTGCATCCTCTTAAGGGCTCGTGGGGCTGAGCCAGCTCGAAGGTGCGCAGCGGAACCATCTCTGTCCCATAAGAGAAAAGCGTAGAAGGGCTGTGAGTTAACGTACATCTTGTCTCCTTGGCACAGTTGCCGATGCTGTGGGCAGGTTGGTGACGTTCCCAACATCCAGGAGATGGAGGAGTGTGTTTGTTGCCTGGTTTGCCCCTTAACGACCAGCGATTCCTGCACTCGGCACTCCAAGGTCCTTGGAACATACCCTCTTCAAGGCTCTGCCCAGGGATCCCAGGAATTTTGGCCCACGAATATCTAAAGCCCCAACTTTGGGGTTCCTTTTCTTAAATCCTCTGTTCTGTTCTTTCTTTCTGGAAGCCAGTTGGCGCTCCTTTTAGTTGTTGTTTTTAAGGGTAAACCTCCTGCTCCCTTCAAGCAATGGATTTTTCTATTCCTCCTGTGCTGTGAATTTCATGGATCTTAAGAAGCAAGCGGTTGCAATCGGAAGATATTTGTGATCTGCTGAGTTGCACTCAAGCCATTCTGCAGGGACTGGCTGTTGTTAGCACTTTCCCCAGCCTTTTTAGCCTGTACCTCATAATTCCAGGCTTTCTGGTTCTTTGCGGGTTTTAGGGAAGGGAGCGCCAGAAGAGGCCTCCGGCTAGATCAAGACTCAGGGTGTGGCTCTGTCTTTCTGACATCCGCGTTCCGCGTCTCCCACCGGCTGCCTGCAGGCGGAAGCCATCAGCAGGGTGGGTGGTGGGGCCCAAACTGAGCAATCAAAAAAAAAAAATCAAAATCCTGCACCAGTAGAGCCGGGATTCTGCGACCGGTGTAAAGCTCTGCACTTTCGCAGAGCGTAAAGCTCTGCAAAAAAGTCATATTATTTTCTGAGTTGGAGTGAGAAACAGAAAGCGATAAAGGCTCCACGGGCGATCTTATTCAGTGACCATCCTCTAGGAAGCCGTGGCCGGGGAGACCAGCCTCTCTTTGCATCCTAGCATCTGGGGAGAGTCCTCAGTCCGGAAGCAGTATAATTCGGGGGAAAGACAACATTTAACAAGCCGGGAAGTTCAGGGACCCAATTTCACCATAATGCCCCCCCTTCCTTCCACCCTCTACCCCCTCTCCTCCCTGTTTTCCTAGGGATTTCCAAGCCTCTTGTTGTGAGAGACCTTCCCGTAGTATTATTCTGTGGATTCACCTTTTGAATTTGAATAAAGATGTCAAGTTTTAAACCCTTGAGCCATGTTGCTCGGTGAAATGGAGGAAATCCTTGGCAGGCTCACACCCTGTTGAGGGCTTGATTCGCAACCCTACGCCAAGAGCCCTGAACCCTAAGATATGGTTGAGGAGGGCAGGGATGAGAGCCTGAAATGCAAAGGACAGCTGTCTAGAACGGGGTGATCAAGTTGGAGGGTTGTGGGTCGTTTGGTTTGGTTTGGTTTTATTTATTTTTTTTTGCTCCAGGTTATGCTAGTTCTTATGTATGTTTTTATTTAAACATTTTTACCCCACCGTTCTCCTTTAAAGGACCAAAGGTGGCTTACAGCATTAAAAGAAGATATTAAAGCAAACAGCAGTAAGTATATCGATACTTTAAAGGGATCAAACAAATGCTGTATTAAAAAAAACAAAAGCAACAACGGAACCACATTCAAAGTGAAAAGGCACCGCAGTCCAATTCGAAACACGTCACGCAGGCAGCCAGTTACTGCAGGAAGGAAGACTTGCCTGGAGAGATAGGTCTTTTAGCTGCTTGCGGGACAGCCAAGATGGGGCCAGTGGCAGGGAGTTCCAAAGTCACACATAAAATCAGATTTTTTTTGTTCTTAAAAATAAGTTTTATTTTCAAAAGGAGATTTTTTTTTTGCTAAAGGAAGATACAAAAGTGAGTGCCTGTTTCAGAGGAAAATCAGGGCTCCTTGGTGGTGCGATTCTCTTGGGTTTATTTTGTGGGGGGTGGAGATTTTGGGGTGACTTGCATTTATTTACTTATTAGGAGCATCTGGAGGGCCTACAGAAATAGGTTTTTTTTGGGGGGGGGGAGGCAGCCTATGATTCTCACCCTTGATCTGGTACATAACAGCAAGGTGGTGAAAATTGGTGATCCTAGTGTTTTCCAAGCTCACAGCTGGGGAAAAAGTGCAGCATTTGGCTTCCATGACAGTGTAGCCAGTTAGAGTTGTGGCCCAAGAACATCATTAGTAGACAGGGGCTGGGAAGCACCGAACACCCAGTTCGGCCATTAAACGAACTGACACGAACCACCGAACTAGCGGTTCGTGCCTAACTAGTTATTTTTAATGGACAAGCAGTACGGCAAAAGACCAGTTGGAGAGATGTTTTTCTTTTGGCTATGGTGAAGCAAATGGAACAGAGCTGATTCCAGTCGCGCTGTTAGGGAGTGAGGCGAAGAGCCGCTGGAGGAATGGAAAATTACCGTATTTTTCTGTGTATAAGACGCCCCCATGTATAATACACACACACCCACTTTTCTAACCCAAAATTAAGAAATCTAAGTGGGGCTTGGCAAGTGTATGGAGAAAGGACTCAAAGCAATCCCGCAACTGCATGATCGTTTTGATCCCTTTCCCGCTTATACAGCCATGGGATTGCTTTGATCCTATCGCCCTACACTTGTTAAGCCCCCTGGGACTTAGTACGCAGAGGGGAAAGCAAGGATCAATGCGATCCTGCAGCGCTTTGATACCTGCTTTCCTTTTGCTAAGGCTTGGTAGCAAGTGGAGGGGAAAGCAGGGATCAAAGCCCTACAGGATCACTTTGAGCCCTGCTTTCCCCTCCACTTGTTTTTTTCTCTCCTCAGCTTATTGAGGACCCTCAATTTTTAGTCTAAAGATTTAAGACAAAAGTAGAGACTTATACATGGAAAAATATGGGTAGATCTCTGTCAAAGGTGAGATGAGATGCGCTTTGTCGATCATGGAGGCTCGGAGTACATCACAAACACCACCAGGAAGAGTGAGCATCAAATAATAAAGACGGATCTTCTATCTTAGCACCTGTCTCCTGGCAGGCTTGGCAGCTTCTTTCCTCCCTTGTGTTTTCTGAAGGGTAAGGCACCCTTGCTGATTTTTCTCAGGCCTATCCATTAGGGACCTGCATGTAGCAAACCCTGCCCTTTTAAAAATCCATTCCTTCTTACAAATGGTGAAAGATCTGTTTTGCCTCTTCTGGCTGGCTTCCTGTTTTAAAAAGTTTGCCATGAGTTAAAATTCAGAAGAGCAGCTGAATGACTATAGAATCAAACACACGACTGGGTCGCCGCTTGTGGCCCCTAAGGTCTAAAACACCCAAATGTAACTTTTCTGGAAAGCATATTTGCAGAAAAACTCCCTTTGTGCACCTTACCGGCAAGGAAATCTCATGTTTTAGCACGTGCCCCCAGTGCTCAGACCACCCCCTCCAAATTGTTGAAATAAAAAAATTAACCACCAGAGGGCAGAAGTGGGCATTTTTGTCCCAGTTTTTTTAAAAAAATACACATTTCTAAGAAAAAAATTAAAGGGCAGCCAGTGAAATCCCAGAGCTCCAGTGTGTGGCCAGTCTCTAGTAAGCAGTAAATGGGTTGAACTTCTACACTGAGAAGAACGGACAACCTTTTGAGAGCGTGCCTTCGAAGCTCACGCCTGCGTTGCTTTCCTGTTCCAAAATGGAACCTGCCACAGGGTGGCTGAGCGTGGCAGGCTGCCTACGGCTTCCATGTGGTGTATTCTTACCTGTTTTGATATAGAATCATGGAGTGGGAAGGGGCCTCGAAGGCGATCCAGTCCAACCCCCTGCTCAGGGCAGGAATCCAAACTGAATTCTACCTGACAGAGGGCTGTCCAATTTTCTCTTGACAGCCTCCAGTGTTGGAGCCCTCGCCACTTCCCTTGTCGTACTGCTTTAACAGTTAAGAATTTTCCCCCGCTATTCAGCCTAAATCTGGCTTCCTATAGCTTGAGCCCATTATTGTGGACCCTGCACTCTGGGATGATGGAGAACAGATATGTAGGACTACCTTTGAAGAGTGCTCTCTTGTCTCCCCTCAGTCTTCTTTTCTCAAGATGAAACATGCCCAGTTCTGCTTGCCTTTCCTCCTAGGGCTTGGTTTCTGGTCCTGAATTCTACCTGACAGAGGGCTGTCCAATTTTCTCTTGACAGCCTCCAGTGTTGGAGCCCTCGCCACTTCCCTTGTCGTACTGCTTTAACAGTTAAGAATTTTCCCCCGCTATTCAGCCTAAATCTGGCTTCCTATAGGGCCTCCGGTGTTGGAGCGCTCGCCACTTCCCTTGTCGTACTGCTCTAACAGTTAAGAATTTTTGCCCGCTATTCAGCCTAAATCTGGATCGGCTAGTCATCTGTGCATTGCAGAAGATCCCAGATCATCCTGATTGCCCTCTTCTGGACTTGCTCCAGTTGGTCGGCATTCTTCCTTAAAGTCTGGCATCCAGAACTGGACACAGGACTGACTCTAGAGGAGGACTTGCCGAATAGAGGGGGACTCATATTATGAGGATCAGCTAGTCATCTGTGCATTGCAGAAGATCCCATCAGAGGCATCTTTGAACAATGGAACCCATTCTGAACACACTGGTCTGAGCTAGATTGAGCTTAGAAGCTGAGCACCATTAGCCCAGGCCAGTACTTGAGGGAGGACCACTTTGGGATCTCCAGATAACAGCTAGGAAAGGATTGTGCCGGAGCGCTTGGAGAGTCCAAGCAGATCTGACTCTGCCGGACTTGATGGGCCGCTAGCATCGTAGGGCATCTTCCACGGTCCCTGTCTTTGATCAACCCTCAAAGAATGCCGGGACTTCCTGTCTGCTTTTCTCAAGGAGCTCTTTCCAGGAATTTCGGAAACCAGAAGCTGAGGGTACTCTTCTGTTCTGACCCCCTTCTCCGGGGACACAAAGCCTGATTTCCGGTCCAAACACTTGGTACTGACGCATTTGAGTTTTTAGCTGAGATTCAGTAACACAGGATTTGGTCACTGGAGGCCAGAAGGAGGTGGCGCTCAATGGGATCTCGTTTGGAGGCACAAACAGTCTGTCCTTTCCGAGGCTATGAGGGTGTAACTCCTCTCGGCTTATGAGCTTTTCTGCACTGACCCAGCTGTTCTGAGGCACCCTGACCCGCCATTCGGATAATCCGGGGACTCCCACCCACTCGCTCCTCCGGTCTCCAGTCTCCCATCTGCCAGCTGTGGCCGGGGCGCCTCGGTGAGAGGTGTTGTGTGGTTAGAAGCGGAGCAGGCTTCCCGGGGCTCAATGGTCTTGTGGCTCCGATTCCACAGGGAGCACTGAATCCCCTCCCGCCTTCTGTGAGCTCTCCAAGGTGCTGAATCTATTGGGGGGACCAGGTTCAGCTCACATAAAGCTGGGAAGTCAGAAGACCTGGATCGGATTTATCGCCTCCACGAAACTGGAGTCCCCACCAGCCCCTGCCCCCTCACAGAAAGGGGATGCTCAACCCGTCATCCTGGTTGGTAAGGCTGGGAAAGTGCCTTCTCTAAAACCTGAAGCGTTGCTGCCTGTCTGAAAACAGCCCAGAGGTAGAAAGATGAAGGGTCGTAACTGGCCATGAGGCTTGGATAGCGACATAGTACTCAACATCCACATTTAAAGCCTGAAGACTAGAAACTTTACATGCTTTAACCTTCAGGGAAAGAACCAGAGGAGAATGGCGAAGCACCTGTCCTGCATGGCAAAGGTCCCGGGTGCAGCCCTGGCACCTCCAAGCAGGAGTGGGAAAGGCTGAAACCAGTCCCAGTGGATGGTGCTCAGCTAGAGGGACTGATGGTTTGGTCTTGCCCTCTTGTGGCTCATGTACCTTCTTCCTTCAGTTTTAGGGCCTCCTTTGCAGCTCAAGGATTTGAAGGGGTGGGAGAATTTGAATACAAGTCCTTGACAAGACCCTACGCAGACGGGCCAGAGTTTGCTAGAGCAGCCGTCATTCCAAAATGTAACTTTTCCAATCTCAGAACATCGTCTCGACTTAATCCCGGGATTAAGTTTGTGCGCCACGGCTGTGCGTAGGCAACTTCGGAGGAGCCTCCCTGGGGAATGGTGGGAGCCAACCTCAGGACCCTGCGAGAAATGAGGGTTTCCGAAAGGACCGTCTTCCTGTCCTTGCTTTACTCTCCCTTGGCTGGGGAGGGTCTCGCCAGGCAAGAATGAATCGTTGCAAAGATTAATTAGCACCCCACCAGTGTTTGCAAAGTAGAAATTTTAAAACAGATACGTAGACAACAACTAAAATGTGGAACTTGAGGACATTAAAACAGGAAGAACACCCTATGAGGAATCCACGTCCCTCTGATATACTTAAGGCCACACAGGGAGGCCACATGGCTGCTGCTTTATTCCTTCATCAGGAGAGAAGTTATTTCTCTGTGACTTTCTGTCCTCTTTTTTTTTCATACCACAGAATTCTTGCTCACCATCTCCATTAACCCCAAACAGATAAAAAAAATCTGTGTTTGTCTCTCTCTCTCTCTCTCTCTCTCTCTCTCTCCCCTCTTGAAAAGCAAATCCTTCCTCAGCTGTACTGATTTTATTTTATTTATAAAGCTTATATACCGCCCAACTTAGTGAGATCACTCCTCGGGATGGTTTATGTAACATGGACCCAAATTATATAAACCCAACGAGGATAGAACGCCCATCTCCCCAGATAAATCAAGGATGTTGCCTGGTTTAACAGAGGCCCTTGTCTCTCTTTCTACCTGATCCGGTCGTGGGAGGGCTTAGAGCGTGTGTGTGTGTCCGGTCGTGGGAGGGCTTAGAGAGAGAGAGAGAGAGTCCCCTTCCGCTTAAAATTAATTCCAGAAATTGGCATATGGCGTCGGCTGTAGCTTAGGCCTCTTTTACATCTCTGCTCTGACCTCTGATAACAGCGTGGGCAAGAGAGTGGCAGCAGTGGTAGATGTAAAAGAAAGGAAGAACTACACACACACACAAAAAATAAAAATAAAAGAGAGGCAAGCTTAAAATGGATCCTTCCCCCATCATATTCCGAGCACCTCTGTAAAAACACACTCTACCAAATAAATCCAAGGTTCACCTACCTCAGGCCGGATGGGCTTTTCCTGATTATTACTAGGTGTTTCAGACTGTTCATTCATTCAAAACACAACCCGGCTTGCAAAAGAGGCTTGTGCTTAGTTCCCGACGGCTGATCAGAGAAGGAAAGGGAATTTTAAAAAAATACAAAGTGAGTCGAGGAATTCAGAGGTCTTAGCACTTCGGAGTTCTGCTTCCAAGCCAGTGGGGGCCCCTCGCCCCAAAATGGTGATGAGAGGCACCCCTAGTCTCTCAAGCCAGAAACTGCCACTGTACAGATTTTTTTTTCAACTAAGTTGCTTTTACGACAGTAAATAAGAGTTTCTCCATTTTCCTTTAAAACAAGCCCTACAATTGGTGTAATGATTTTGATTCCCCCCCCGACGAGTCATATAAGTATCATAGCCAAGCAGTAATCTTTCAACGCAAGTTTCCCCAATTCCAGTCGAACCCTGTAACGACTAGACATGTTGAGATTGTTTATAAATAGACTTTATACGTTGGATGGAGGTCATGATGGCAAAAAGATATTTTACTGCACACTGAGAGCCAGTGCCATCTAATAGTTGTAGTGATATTCCCCATATCCCTCTAAAGACATCAAGGTTCCTCCTGCTCCATCATTCTATGAATAACCCTGTGAGGTAGGTTCATCTAATATAGTGTGGCTAATAACTGGTCCAAGGTGATCATAGATCAGTGTGGACCTGGGTTGATCCTTGAGGAAATCCAGATTTAACACTCTTACTACACCACACCACCCCTTACCCTAGTACAACAGGCCAAGAAAAAGATTTTTCTCTGGACTGTAGTTTTGAATTTTTTAAAAAATATACATCCCATAGATAGTTCTACCTGACAAAGAGACACCTTGCAGCATCTAACGGTGGCTCACCTGGGCGAAAGGTCTCAACCAGGAGTGTCTTGAGGCCTAGCTCGGCCTAGCTTCCTGTTTGGAAAGAAAGCTCCCAGCTCCCACTGGGGCAGCAACAGGAAGTTGAAGTGTAGCTAAGCTTCAGACGCTTCCAAGTTGAGGCATTTCGTCCAGGTGAGCCAAATTGAGATGTCTGTCTGATGTCCATCTCTCAGGTGGAACTCCCAGAATGGAGCATCATGGGATGAATAGTCCCCAAAATTCAACAATCCCCCCCCTGCCAATGGTTCTGTCTTAACTGCACTGCAGTGGTAGCGCTCATTACTTTTATGGCAGGCAAAGTATCAAAAGAAAACCTAACGCTTAGAAGCATCACTCAACTAGATGAAGCTACAGCATGCTAGTGTAGCTCACAACTGGACTGAGATACTGGAGGAGGGGGGGCCGCAGACTCTCCAATGCCCCCTTCTCTCTCTCCACTCTTATTATGGTCAAATTGGTAGGCTGTCCCTTTCCTAGGAGTCCCACAAAGCCATGGATCTCACTGGCTTCTTCCCAGTAGACTCACCTAAATCTCCTTTCCAGCCTCCAAAACTGAGGGCCAGTCACGGCACCTCGAATTCTGGAGAGGGGTCTACCTTTTGATCATACAGAACATTTGCCAGCTGAAATAGCAACTTCATCTGCTCAGACTTCAGAGGTAACATTTTACGTTTCATGCACCGATCTCGCAAAGTCATTCCCCATTGGCTTTTTAATTGTTATTATTTAAGGAAAGCATCTGAGCTTTTAAAAACGATATTTTGAAAGTAACATTAGACTGTTTAAAAAGTGTGCGAACTATCTCATGCACTACACCAGAACACAGAGGTCTAACTCCTGTCCTCTGAAGATGCCGGCCACAGAGATGGGTGAAACGTTAGGAAGAAAAACCTCAAGAACACATTCAAACAGCCTGAAAAACCTACAACCACCATCGGATCCCGGCCATGAAAGCCTCCGAGAACACAAATCAAGAAAATGATTGACAGCCACCTGCAGGCATGGCCTCATGAATACAAAAATAATGATTCTAATGTGAGCACATTGCATCTGGCACGTTATTTCCAGGATTTGACCCCTTCTAATACTGTATACAGCTAGCCTTAACACAGCACCCAAGGACTGATCAAAGAAGGAAGGAAATCTCAGCATCTCTGCTTCTTAGAGGTTCTACAGCTAAAACAGAAATGTGCTTTTACCAAACTACCAAGTCCTAGGAGTCTACGGGAGGAGGCAATGAAAGTGGTGTCAAACGGATATCATTCTGCAATGTAGATGGTCTCTAGCACATACACATATTAATTCATTTATTCATAAACTGCTTCTTGGGGCTTGTGAATGAATGAATGAATGAATGAGTGGGGACACAATGAAATAACATACATTTTCCAATTGTCGCTGAAGAACCCATCCATCTGACATCAGAAGGTCCCTCCTCTGATTCAAATTATGACCCTTGAATCTCCAGCTGAGTGGGCAACCCTCCTGGAGCTAACTAAGAACTGGCATGTGGTTATCCCACCTGTGAATATGAAATTTATGTCTTTAATTTTTAGAAAATAAACTGCAACGGGTATGTCCCTTGAATCTCCAGCTGAATGGGCAACCCTCCTGGAGCTAACCAAGACCTGTCATGTGGTTATTCCACCTGTGAATATGAAATTTACGTCTTTAATTTTTAGAAAATAAACTGCAACTCTTGTGACTACTGTTCTGTAAGGTACTGTGAAGCTTCCTCGCCTGTTTTTATTCAGTGAGGCTGGCTGCCCTCCAGATTTCTGGCAACGGGCCTGCTAACCAATTCTCCCAATGTTGGCAGCAGAGCAATACAGGGCTGCATTTTTCTAGATTCTAGGCTTCTAAGAGGACGCATGGGCCAAATCAAAGAGAAAAGGCACAGAAAGTCCTCCCAACCCATGACAAACACAAGAGACGTCAGTTTATTTCTTCAGAAAATTCTGCCACCATGAGGTCTAGAAACTTACTCCCTCTAAGCAAAGCTTGGGGGAAAAGAAAAAAAAAGGCTAAGCCTAATGAAAAATCCCAAGTTCTGGAAGATGAAACCACTTGCCCTTATGTTCTGCTGAGAATAAGGACCAAACTCTTAACGATATGGATGAATGACAGAGTTTCAGGGAAAGAACCATCAATTGAACCACGGAAGAGGATAAGATGTCGCTCCTAAATTATTATCCGGGTGCTTTTCCAAGTGTGGAAGATCCTTCACAATCACTTTGCCGCTAAAAGAGGGCTTGCTTGGTCCATATCATGTGGACTCTGGGAACAAGCATCATCTCCAATCCTTCCCATCTCAGCAGGGAAGTCCTGTAGGAGGGCTTCTTTTGTGGAAGGACAGGAGCGCTTCTGCCCACAGGCGGCTGTAGCAGGCTAAACCCAGGAAAGCGCCCGAAGGGGGCCCAGAGTCACGTCGGCAGCTCCACCAGGCAATTTCGGTTCTGGATGGCTAAGTCACTTGTTCGAGAGCGTTCCTTAGCGTGTGCTTCTTCAAGATCCTGCAAAATCTGGAAAAGCCGGATGGGGCCATCAGTGTTTTCCAGCTCTGTGGCTCTGTGGCAAGACAGAGAGAGAGAGAGAGAGAGAACAAAGTTATGTATAACTGGCATGCAGTCGCTTTATGGTATATTAATAATGTTGCTGCTACATTTATGAATACCCTGGACTGCCTGAAAGGAGTTCTACATGAATTCAAGCCTGTGTCTTTCTGAGATGCAGAAAAGATGGCGCTGAGGCTATGTCAAGAGAAAGCAAGACCTTACTAGATCATAATGCTAGGAAAAGTCGAAAGCATCAGGAAAAGAGGAAGATTCAACATGAGATGGATCAATTCCAACAAGGAAGCCCACAGCCTTGAGTTTCTCAGAACTGAGCCGGGTTGTTAAAGATATGGAATTCTGGAGGTATAAATTGGAGATGATGTAACAGTGCATAATCTCAACAAAACAATATGGTACGAAATTGGTTTTCTCCCAGTCGTGCTCTAAAACAATGGCCCTCCGTCTCCCCAACCCTATTCAAAAGCCCGCAAAACAAAAAGCTTGGGGTTTTTTTTCACCCAAAGGTGAAATTTGTACATTTATAGGCCTGTTACCACATTGAATATATATGATCAGTTGGGGGATACGATTCGTTTGGCGCGTGCCTCTCGATGGCCCTCCTAAGAACAAGGAGGATGTATAATAGTGATCCAAAACGGTTTAATTAATTAATTAATTGCCATCCTCCTCATTACCACTTGGTTATGAACCACGTTGTGCAACCTCAGCCCAAAGATACTCTTGCCTACCTCGTGGGGCCGTTGTGAAGGAAAAGGAGGAATGCTCATGGCAGGGAAGGAGAGCTATAAATATAACAGACCGAAAGGCCAACATACAATAATAACAGTTTATCTCAGAGCATCCACTTAATTCTCTCTCTCTTCTTAACATCTTGAGCTTTTTTGAAACGTACTAGGAAATCTTTCCAATCTTCGACTCCCTCTTCTAACGAATATTCGAAATCCGTACCTTTGCTTTCACTTGAGCAAACTTTTTCGCTGTTCTCCACAGGGGCCAGTTCCTTGTACTTCTCCCTTCAGGGGGGGAAAAATTAGCAAAAGTAGGTGGAAGTTAGCGCACCCAGTCATCAGCTCTGCAGAAACCACGGGGTTACAAACTACACGCCTCCAAAGTTTTCCCAAGGTTTGAGCAGCCCCGAATCGAAACACACTACATTGAAACAACCTCCACCAAATATAAAGCAGGTTTCCCCCTTGCGTCTCTCTTCTTCTTCTCATGCATTGACCAGTCTCCAGGCTGTCGAGCCGGACTTAAGTTGGACGCGACTCAGGAGCTTGGAGAGGGGTTACGGGCTCATAGCTTGGACCCCTTCTTCTGAGTCATGCTTCGAGTCCTTATTAAGGATGGGCCTCCCTATTGGCTCCCGCCACCTGGCTTCCCTTCCAGGTCCACAATCTCTATGCATACACCCCCCAGGGAGGGGGGAGGGGCCAAGGGCCTCGAGACTTTAGCTTGGGATTCAGGACTCTGACCCGAGGACTCAAATTTGGGACTCGGATCCAAAGACTTAAGGCGCGGGACTTGAATCCAATGATTCTGGCTTGGAACTCGGGCCCAAAGACTTTCTGGCATCCCTGCCAGTCTTCCACCATCCCAGCCAGCCAAGGCCCTCTCTGGACGTCACACAAGACCACTTCCTAATCTTCAATCATACCACAGTCTGTTTCAATCCCATTCTTCTTTCCCTTAGAGAAGCAGGACTGCCGTACTTCCTTAAGCACCTAAACATTCCATGACATCACGTCAGCTCAGCCAATCAGGGCCAGAAAGCTTTGCTGCCACAAACAGAGCACAATGTAGGTTCTTTTTAATCTGTTGTGGGACCCCCCACCTCATTGTAAGCCGCCTAGAGTGGACGAGTCATCTAGATAGGCGGGGTATAAATCAAATAAATCAAATAAATCAAATAAATCAAATAAATAAATAAATAAATAACATACATACATACATACATACATACATACATACATACATACATACATACATACATACATACATACATACATACATACATACATACATACATGCAAAGCAATTAAAAGGGTCAATGTTCCTTTCCTTTCCTCCTTCAGTACGGACAGGATGGCCAACCAACTCACCTCATTGTCTCTCGCACTCCGACCAGGTGCCGGAATATCAGCTGAGCCTCTAAATCTGGGTCCAATGGGTCATTCCATTCCTTCAGAGTAACCCCGTGTCGGGTTTTATCACAGCCGACATCTACGGGGCAAAAGGTAAGAGTTGGGTCTTTCATTTCCTTTTCCCCTTAGCGTTGGCGCACCTGGCTAAGAAAGCCCTTTTTTTTTGCAGCTGTCCTCAAATACAATCAGAGCAATGCCGTTGGTCCACAATGGAGGTTCCATTTCAAAGGCTCCTCCCGCCTGAAGCTTGAAAAAGTTACTTTTTTTGGAGCACAACTCCGAGCACCGTCCATGCTGATGGAGGAATTCTCAGACTCCGTGGTTTAAGTCTCTGGCTGCAGCGCCAGAGGTTGGGAGTTTGATTCTCCCGTGGAGTAGAGCCTTGGGCAAGCTTGGGGTGGACTCAGCCTTCCATCGTTCTGAGGTCAGTCAACTGAGTACCCAACTCGCTGGAGTCGGTGGGCAAGGCGTAGCCTCCATAACTAAATTGTCAACCACCCAGAGAGGGCTAGAAGCGACATATAAGCAGCGCACTTTGCTCTGATGTGCCTTACCTGTTTTATTCTTTTGATGACAGCAGCTCCATTTCTCTCCACGGAAGACGCCCGGGTGATAAGAGCAGAGCATCCCGCTGTTATTCACGCAAACCTTCCGCAAGGCCGACAGCCACTGATTTAGCTCATTGACGCACTAGGAACCGAACCGGGACAAGAAGGGTTAATGCCCTCGGTAGATCTGGCTGGACGCTCATGTATTTTGCCCACCATCCCTTCTTTCCAGTCAAACAGGCGTTGCAAATTCTAGTTCCAGGAAATCCCTGGAAGAAACTTGTTTTAAAATATTTTTAATAAATTAAATAATAAATTAACTGGGGGATTGGGATAGTCTGGGTATCAGAACATAGCAGAAGTTGGAAATAATTAAAATTATATGTTAATCCATTAATTCTTTTTAACAACAGTATTTGAAATGTGTTGCTTTAGTCATCCAATGGGCATTAAATGTCCAGTGTTCTTTCTTTTCAAGTGATGAGTTAATATTGGGTTAAACTGTGACCCTCAAATCATTTTAATTATTTTAATTATTACTTTGGGGAGACACACCGGGCATATTTTTTTGACTGCTTGTTTTAAATTGTAGTTTTTATCGAGTAACTCAGCTTCCAATTTTTAAATATGTGACAAATGACCAAATTTGGTCATGGATTTCTAAATTCATTTTACAACATTTCTTCTAGTCCGAATCCTACAGCTGCTTGTGGCAGGTTTGTGGAGCTTGTCATGGCTAATTGCAACTAGCTGACGAGGATGCCTGCTGGATACATGTTGGTAGCATGTCTGGTCAGACACTAGAATGCAGAGCACCTCACATTTGCATGAAATCTAGGATAAGGCTAGGAAAGAAATTCTGCCAAAACACAAGATAGGGCTAGGAAGGGAATCTTGCTAAAAACACAGGATCGGGCTAGGAAAGAAATCCTGAATCCCAAGGAACTTGTTGCTGTCAATGCACGTCAGCAATCTTAGAAGGGACAGAGGTCCATCTTAGTCTTCCAAGTTGCACAAAGCAACCCGCCTTTGTACGCCACAACCCTCCCCTCTCCACCCACGGCAGGCCACCTGCCCCGTCCACCTCTAACCTTGCACTGCAGGTACACCGTGTCCACCTGTCCTTCCTCGCTGGCGTAGATGATTTGCATGACGTGGGAGCTCCCAAAGCTTTTCTCCTCCACCTTCTCGGCAGCCAGGATGTTGGCCAGGGAAATGAAAGAGCTTTTCTGAAAGACAATCCCACGGGAGTGTCAGAAAACGGAGATTCCCTTGGAATCAAAATGGACGCTCCTCTAAGCCGGCCACAGTGCTTTCGATCAGACACACCGCACACGCTCGCTGAGATGGTTCTTCATTTGAAAAAACTCCTCTTTGCTCTACATCAGTGGGTGGCCAAAGAATCCAGAAATACCAGCCGTTGCTGTACAGCTATTCCATCTTTCACTCCTTAACAGATTTTATGTTGGGAGTTTTTACAACCTCGCAGGCTGCCTGGAGAAGGTGGGGCTGGGGTGACTGTCAATCTATCCAGCATTAGCCAATCATTCCTTCCCTGATGGTGAATTCAAAGAGAGTCCCATCTTTCTGCTCTGTGTCTTTTTTCCCCCTTTTCAAGAGTCTGTTGAAGTCTGTTGCTGAAGGCAGTCATGTTTTTAACTTGCTATTTATCTGTTCACTGTAAGTAAATGCAACAGATTTCCCTTTTTCTCCTTCAAACATCTCAGAGTGAGTTATTGAGGCTGAAGGGTGCCAAATAATGAGAAAGAAAAAAAGGGGTGGACTATTCTGGGGAACAAGAACTTACTCTGCTGTCAATCCCTGCACTGCTAGATAAATTTAACCCAAAATTCAAAACTGCAACTCCTCCCCCCCTTCAGTACAGGAAAAAAATAAGTATTAAAGCAAACAAGTAAAGATCAAGGAATTCTAAAACTCAAAACAAGAAGAAAGTGACATGGAGTTGGTCACGTAATGCAAAATTTAAAAAATCCAGATTGTGGGCAGCTTATGATCCTTCCAGGCAAAATCAACAGGGAAGAAAGATACAGAAAGGAAATTGGGCTGTTTGGATATGACACAGCGCCTTTGTTTCTCTCTTTAAGACGGCACGAATTCAGCGAGGACCACGGAAGGGAAGGCTAGCTAGAAGCACCCTTGGAGGTCACCATGCAGAAGAACTGTGGGCAGCAAACCGTACAGCTTCCAAGTCACACTGGTCTCCCACACGTTTACCCCCCTTGCTAGGACCTTCCTTACCTTAGCATTTGGTGTCTTGGCAAAGGTGAGAGCCTCGCTGGTGAGGGAGAAGTACAGCTTCTTGCAGGTGGACGAGAGGAGAGGGCCTTTGCTCTTCGGCTTGTGAACAAACAGGGGCCCCTCTTTCACCACCTGCGTCTGCCGCGAAAGGGCCTTCTGCTGGTCTAATTCTGCACAGATCCAGATCCGTGGAAATAAATTCAGGAGGAGAAGTAGAGTGAGTTTGCATATGGTGAAAAAAAATCATTTCAAAGTGCTTCACAAACAACAACTACGTATGGTTGGGCCGTACTGTTTATTCCCATTTTTCAGGTAGCAAGACTGAGGCTGAGACCAAACGGGTTTCTCTGATGGCAAGTTGCCAATTTTAATGGCAAGATAACATGGGAACTTGGTGCTTGTTCTTTGCTGTTTGCTAGCAGTACACTAAGGTAGGACTGCCATTGCAACAGGATCAGCACCCGTGGTTTCACTTATTCGCTGCCTGAAAATATTAAATTAAAAAGACCCAGAAATATGTTTCCAAAATGCATTATCAGACCTGGCCACTAGAGGGACCAAGATACCATGCTATGTATTCTTGTTGTTGAAGAACACATAGAATAGTCTTGGGCTCCCTCTGGTGGCCAGTTATGGTAACACATCATGAAAATAGTTTTTTTCTCGGTTTTTCTTTTACTATTTATTTATTATTTATTTATTTGATTTATACCCTGCCCATCTGGTCTAAAAGACCACTCTACGCGGCTTCCAATATAGTAAAAACAGTGAAATAATACAAAAAACACAATTACATAAATCATATTGTAATAAAAAGAATACAGCAATAGAATAGAAAATACATAGGGAGAGAATAAACAGAAAAGTCAGATATTAACTGGAGGGAAGGCCTGAATGTATAGCCATGTTTTTAATTGACTTTTTAAAGTGTCCAAAGTGGAGGCCGCACGGATCTCAGGAGGGAGATTGTTCCAGAGGCGAGGAGCCACCGCTGAGAAGGCCCGGTTTCGTGTCCTTTCTTTCCGGGCCTCGTGCCCACCTCAGGTGGGAAATTTGTTGTACATAAGACACCATTTAGATTTGTTTCCTGAATGCCATAATCACCTGCTGAGTGGGAACCACGAGCGTAGGAAGAAACCGCATTTTGCACACCGCGCTTACAAACGTATTGTTCTAAAAGCAGCTTAACTTATCAAGGCAGTAACAGAAGTTGTTTGTGATGCTCCACGCATGGAAGCAGAGAAGGTGGTGATCTTCTATCCCTCCCTGCCAGTTTCAACAGAGAGAGGCTAGAATCCTGTTGTGTAGCTACGCAGGCATAGCTGGGCATGACGCTCACGGTAGCTACAATGGCACCAATGGCTATCCATGAAGCACTTTCACCGGGGCGTTGC